GGCCCCCTCTTGGAGCCGTCTTTGGGCCCATCTTGGGCCGTCTTGGGCGCCTCTTGGGCCGTCTTGGGGCCCTCTTGGGCCGCTTGGGGCCCTCTTGGGGCGATCTTTGGGGCCTCTGGGCTGTCTTGGAGCGTCGGGAAGCTGAAAAGGTGGGACCGCCAAAATCCTTCAAAAGCCAAACAAGCAAATCAATGTTTTTGCCTGTTGGGGCCTCTTTGGAGGCCTCTTGGGAAGTCTTGGAGGCTTCTTGGGCCGTCTTGGAGCCGTCTTGGGCAGCTTGGGCCCATCTTTCGGTGACTCGGAGTCCTCTTGGATCGTCTTGGGGGCCTCTTGGGGCCTTCTTGGCCCGTCTTCGAGCCCTCTTGGGTCCGACAAAGTCATGCGAGAAGACGCCAGAAGACGCGATGAGAATTTTGGCTCCGGGCCCCTAAGAGAATCTTCCTGAGTGAGGACTGAGGCTTAGAGGATTTGGCAAAGCACCTGAGGACACGCCGACTCCGTGCCTAGAGGCACGATGGCGGCCTCCGCGCACTGGATGAAATATGCTCCTCGCCGTCGCTACCAACACGCAACACGCCGTGATGGGGGGGTGCCCCCATGTTGACTGGTGTTGGCCACCACACGCATGTCGCAACGGTTTTGGCAGGGGTAGTGAGGTGGGGGCATCGCTGACCGTGGTCCGCGGCTACCCGGGCGGGGGAGAGGGTGTTCAAATATAAGAGCAGATGTCGGGGAGGGGGTTGGCGTGTTGCCTGCTCTCGCTTAGAGGGGCCACTGGTCTGAGTCACCTTTTGCGGGCTGGCTTTGCAGCCGTTTGCAAAGAAGAGCACCTGATGCCAACAGAGCCAGGTGCGGCGAGCCCCACGTGCATGAGACCTGGGCAGCGTTCTGACGTGCGCCAGGGCCGCCGACTGGCAGCGCGACGCCCACTGCAGCGCCCGTGTACAAACTCTGCGAGCTGGCCGTCCCCCCCTCCTCCGCCAGCCCGGCCGTGGAAGCGGCGCTGCTCCGCAGGCCTGCCCCCGCCGGACGGCCGAGGAGCCCGCAGGCCGTCCTCCCCGCCTTCCCCGCCTCCGCCTCGCCGGTTCGACCCCGCCCTTGCCACGTGCAGTCACGGACTGCTTCATGGGCCCGGGGAAGAGAAGCCGTCATCACCCCATCGCCCATCCGTTCCGTCGCGAGTGCCACGGGGGCCTCTTGTGATCAAGGCCATGCTGGCGACGCTGCCAAGGATGCTGACGACTGCGACGATGAGTGTGGTGGCGGTGCTGATGATCGTCAGCGCCATCGTCGGAATAGTCATGCACTGTCGGAATGGCATCGGAGTGCCATCGGGACAACGTCTGGACACCCGGTGGGATGCCACGACAATGCGCACAGGTTTACTTACTCCGATCCGCAAGGATGATGACGACTGCGACGATGATTGTGGTGGCGGTGCTGATGATCGTCAGCGCCATCGTCGGAATAGTCATGCACTGTCGGAATGCCATCGGAGTGCCATCGGTACAACGTGTGGACACCCGGTGGGATGCCACGACAATCCGCACAGGTTTATTTACTCCGATCCGCAAGGATGATGACGACTGCGACGATGATTGTGGTGGCGGTGCTGATGATCGTCAGCGCCATCGTCGAAATAGTCATGCACTGTCGGAATGGCACCGGAGTGCCATCGGGACAACGTCTGGACACCCGGTGGGATGCCACGACAATGCGCACAGGTTTTTTTACTCCGATCCGCAAGGATGATGACGACTGCGACGATGATTGTGGTGGCGGTGCTGATGATCGTCAGCGCCATCGTCGAAATAGTCAAGCACTATCGGAGTACCATTGGAATGCCATCGGGACAACGTCAGGACACCCAGTGGGATGCCACGACAAATTGCACAGGTTTACCCCCATCCGCAAGAATGATGACGATTGCGACGATGATTATGGTGGCGCTGCTGATGATCGTCACCGCCATCGTCGAAATAGTCAAGCACTGTCGGAGTACCATCGGAGTGCCATCGGGACAACGTCTGGACACCCTGTGGGATGCCACAACAGAGCGCACATATTATGCCCGGATACGTACGCTGCCTCCCGAGAGCGTGAACATACCTCACATATGAACATCGCACACTATCACACACTTTTCCACAGCATTCGATCTTGATTGGATTGGAATGGGAGGAACAGCGGCCAGGAGAATGTCATGTGCTTCATTCGCTCCTTCTCCTTATCCTCCCAGGTATTTTGTTCTGCTTCCACTTCGCGTTGTGCGATGCGCGTGTCCGCCACAGGGCAGGCTGGGTAGGGACTCAGGCACCCATCGACCCCGACCCCTTTCAGCTCGCAGCATTTAGTCGCGTCAGCGAGACCATCTCGTGTGGAGCTCTTCCCGCGGACAGGCCAGGGTTCATTGACGCTCGTGCACATGGCTGCGTTCATACCATGCCCGGCACGACACGCGAAACTCAGAGGAGTACATGTACCCATGCCGCTATTGTTCCTTCGTTTTCCCCCTTTTGGGCTTTTGGAGGCCCTCGTCGCCACCGCTGGACTCGCCTCGAAAGTCTGGTCAGAAAGCACCCCGGGAGAGGTCCGGGGAGCAGCGGTATCGGTACCTCTTGGTTTCCCCAGAAATTGAGGTTTCTTGCTGGTGGCGGACTTGCAGCAGCTGTTACGCATCAAGCCTCCACCGACCCTGTTGCAGTTCTGTTCCATCAGCACCGCTTGACCGAGTTGCCTTCTACTACTGAAAAACATTGATAGAGTGTCCAGGTGCTTGCGGCCAGTTGGACCACCGCTGCTACTGTTGCGTGTTTCTGTCAGTTCACCCGGTGTCGCTTCAGCGATTCAGCCCATTGGGCTACACAGTCTTCATGCTATTCAGCACCGCCAGGATGACCGATGGGTAACCATCGCCTTAACTTGTGGAAGCATCGTTGTTATCTTACTTCTTGAACCTCATTCCTCCCCTTCTGGTTGCCCTCTTCTCCTCCCGCCTCCACTCTCACCAACCCTTCTTCTCGGCCCCTCAACCAGTCCCTCCTCCCTTCCTTTCGTTCTTCTTCCCCTATCGCTTTGCCCCCCTGTCCCTCCAGCCCTCCTGACCTCTCTCAGGCTGCAATTTGGAGGTTGAACTCAGCATCGTCTCTAGCATTCTCGCGGGTATTGTTCTGCTGCAGCCAGCACTATCCGGTCTAGACCAGCTTAGTCTGGCTCACTTCCGCTTAAATGCTTGACATGGCATGCCCATCTGAAGAATCCAGCCGAGCGGCCCCGTGATCGGGCTGAGCAGGCCTCAGACGCTCCGCGAGGACGTCCCAGGAGCCGCCTCCTAACGTCCCTGTCCCTCCCTCTCTCCCTCCCCTCCCAGTCTCTCGTCTCTCCCTGTCTCTCCTCTCGTTCCTCTTCCCCTCTCTCCCTCCCCTCCCCTCCCTCGTCCCTCTCTCTCTCCCTCCCCTCCCCTCCCTGTCCCTCCCTGTCTCTCCTCTCGTTCCTCCTCCCGCCCCCTCCCCGTGTCCCCATCCGTTCCCCCCCCTTTCTGCCCCTCTCGCCCTCCCTCCGTGACCATGGGCCCCCCTTTCGTGTCTGGATCCTCCGCTGCGGCTGCTGCTGCTCCTCCTCCGTCATCGTGCGTCCTCGTCCTCCTCCTGCTCCTCCTTCTCCTGCTCCTCCTTCTCCTCCCTCCTCCTTCTCCTCCTGATCATCATCCTCATCCTCATCCTCATCCTCATCATCATCATCATCATCATCATCATCATCATCATCATCATCATCATCATCATCATCGTCCTTCCCCCCCTCCTTCCCTCTTGCTCGCTGCCACTGCCGCTGCTTCCCGCTTGCTCCTCACGCTCCTGCTCCTTCTCCTCTGTCCCCCTCTCCCCTCATCATGATGCTGTTGATTATCCGCAAAGGCTTTGCCCCCTGCCGCCGGCCCCCTCTCGGATAATGGGCAATGGAAGAGCGAAACCATGAGGCCTTGGCGCCGCCGTGAAGCATCGTCGGGACGTCACGCGAAGACGATGAGTAATCGGCAAGACACATTGAGATTCTGATGATATTGTTGAATTCGGTGTTGTACTTCGAGCTTGCTCGCGCATGCTGTGCAACAATCTTTTCCACGAAGTATTGAAGCATTGCAAAACCATGTGTTTTATGACCCTGACCCCGCCGATCTGCGTGAGGGGTGCCACCGAATTTCAAGACATGTGGCAAATCCTTTGTGTTCCTGGACCCTGACCCCGCCGATCTGCATGAAGAGTGCCACCGAATTTGAGAAATGCGGCAACTTCCTTATTTTGGGGGACCCTGACCCCGCCGATCTGCGTGAGGGGGGCCACCGAATTTCAAGACACGTGGCAAATCCCATGTGTTGTCCGACCCTGACCCCGCCGATCTGCAAGACGGGTGCCACCGAATTGCAGAATAATAGCAAATCCTTTGTGTTCTTGGACCCTGACCCCGCCGATCTGCGTGAGGGGTGCCACCGAATTTCAGACATGTGGCAAATCCCATGTGTTTTTGGACCCTGACCCTGCCGATCTGCATGAGAAGTGCCACCGAATTTGAGAAATGTGGCAAATCCTTTCTGTGTTTTTTGGACCCTGACCCCGCCGATCTGCGTGAGAGGGGGCCACAAAATTTCAAGACATGTGGCAAAGGCCATGGGCGTTTCGACCCTGACCCCGCCGATCTGCGTGAGGGGTGCCACCGAATTTCAGACATGTGGCAAATCCCATGTGTTTGTCGACCCTGATCCCGCCTATCTGCGTGAGGGGTGCCAGCGATTTTCAGAAATGTGGCAGATCCCATATGTTTTTCGACTCTGACCCCGCCAATCTGCGTGAGAGGTGTTACCGAGTTTTAACATGTGGCAAATCCCATGTGTTTTTTGACCCTGACCCCGCCGATCTGCGTGAGTGGTGCCACCGAATTTGAGAAATGTGGCAAATCCTATTGGTTTTCCGACCCTGATCCCGCCGATCTATGTGAGGGGTGCCGCCGAATTTTCGAAATCTGGTAAATCGTATGTGTTGCTGGACCCTGAGACCCCGCCGATCTGCGTGAGGGGTGGGGTGCCGCCGAGTTCCAAAAATGTTGCAATTCTCAATAGTTTTTAGGCCCTGATCCTGCATATCTGCGTGAAAGGTGCCGCCGAATTTCAGAAATGCTGCACATCTCATTGGTAATTTGGACCCTGACCCCGCCGATATGCGTGAGGGGTGCAAATTTCGACCCCCCAGAAATTCTCAGACCTCTCCCGGGAGGTGCTAACCAGGGCGTTTTTCGGCTCCCCCCCCTCGCGCTGTCTACAAGAAGGAACAGCAACAAGAAGCAGAACAGGAAATTGGAACTGGCGCAGGGAACAGCAAATCCCGAGCCTACAGCCTGGTGGCCCCACAAGGGGGCCGGCGGATCCTCCTCCTTTTCCTCATCCTTTCGTCTTCCTCTTCCTCCTCCTCTTCCCCTGCTTCTCTTTCGCTGCCGCGGTTCCTCCTCTGGAGGTCTCCAGTGCCCCCTGGCCTGAGTCCTCTGGCGGCCTCCGGAGGCCGGAGGGGGCCCAGGAGGCGTCTCAAAGTATGCGCATCGAGGTTCTTTGGTGTTGTCGCTCTTGCCCCGAAGCTTCACCGTGGCGAGCGTGGAGGCGAGGGCCTCTGAACGGAGGGGCTTTGGTGGTGCCAGCGCGCCGACGCCCTTCCAATTGTGGCAATCCTGGCCACGACCCTCGCTCCTCCTCTCCCTCCTCTTCCTCCTCCTCCTCCTGCTCCTTCTCTATCCTTCTCCTCCTGCTCCTTCTCTCTCCTTCTCCTCCTACTCCCACTGCTCCTTCTCTCTCCTCCTTCTCCTCTTCCTCTTCTTCGACCCCCGATCATCGAGCCTCGAGCCTCCTCCTGCTTGGTGTCCAGGACACGCCCGAGGCCAAGGACGTGAGCCCCAGGGTGGTGCTGCTGGAGGTGGCCCTGATAAGGGAGCGGGCGAGACTCATGAGAAGAAGGGGGAGGAGGAGGAGGAGGAGGAGGAGGAGGAGGAGGAGGAGGAGGGGGCGGAGGAGGAGGAGGAATGATGATGATGATGATGATGATGATGATGATGATGATGACGAGGATGATAAGGATGAGGAGGAGGATGATGATAATGCTGCTGCTGATGATGATGGTGATGATGATGCTGCTGCTAATGGTGCTGCTGCTGATGATGGTGGTGGTGGTGATGGTGATGCTGATGATG